GCACCGCGGCCCCGCACTCCCGAGACCCAGCGACTGAACACAGCGGCGCGGCCCCGCACTCCCAAGACCCAGCGACTGAACACGGCACCGCGGCCCCGCACTCCCGAGACCCAGCGACTGAACACAGTGCTGCAGCCCCGCAGTGCTGGCACAGACACGAAGGAGCTGAGAGCCCGAGTTACAGGCAAGAGGTCCCGGCCCCACCACAGCCTGGGTACAGAGCAGAACCGGGCCGCCAGGCTGGGTACAGCGCGTTCATGGGTCTTGTCAACACGCCTTTACAGATGCTGTGAAGACGCTCTGTACTTCAACACACACACACACACACGGCTGTATAACTGCACCGCTGAGGCCAGTTAAAGGTCACAAGGACCACTCAGGCTGTAATTGAATTTAACCAGCAGTGGAGTCAGCCATGGTGGGCCCATTACGCCTTTCAATACACAGTGCAAATTCCTACAAGGGACTAGGAAATGGTGCTTCTACAATAACATTCATCCGAAAACATAAACATCGCATCAGAAACTCCGCTGAGACGTCCCAGGCCACGACAAGTCAGGAGCTGTTAAATATCTGTAACTGCTAACCTACTGCCATGCTGATTTGCACTTAATATCCCCTGCTGTGTGTTCAACTGCATTACCATTCACTCTATTAACACTTAAAGGATGGACACATTACCATGAATGTTCCTCTTTAGCCCAGGTAACTGAGGATGCACGAGAAGTTCTTTAAATGGGGGCGCTTGGAGTTTTTCTCCTTTTCTAATCTCTCATGGGAAAAAAAATTGGAGCTACAGATTCTGGATGAACGCCTCCAGGAAAATGCAAAAATGTTCTCGCAGTACTCAAAAACATGTAAATTTAATGTAAAATATGGTATTTATAGCAGGAAAAAAAGGGACAAGCTCAGCTTGCTCCACAGAGACACAAATCTAACATCAATACTCGGTGAACCCAGGAGATATGGATCTGTAGTAGTCAAAGCAGGAGAAATTCTACCCTGTACTTCACCCCTGCCTCTGTGGAATTCACACACACTTTTCCAGGCCTGTTATCTTTTAATTATTACATTTCATTACTGCTCAGAATTCAGAGCCTGTCTTCTCTAAAGCTGGTTCACGATTTCCCACAACTCATGCCAATCCCCGTTTATCCAGAAGGGGGCGATCAAAGCCACTTCTGGCGGCTGCTGTTAGGACGTGCATTACTGCAGCTTCCCTGCCTTGCCAGTCTCTGGCAGAGTCAGGACGGGCTGCCCATCCAGCTGCCTGTTTTATATTTGATTAACACTGCAAATGACAATTCACCAGCCTGGCACCTCTCTGCTAAGTTTATATTGCTCTTCTCATCTCTCAAGCACCCTGCCTTGTTTTAATAAGAGTGCTGGTTTATACTACCCAACCTGCCTGACAGGGCCAGTTAAAGCAGTTTAATAGTGTGCAAGTATGTAGGGAAATTATTCAAAATCTACAAAACTACTACACAGGAATGTGCATTAAAGCAAAGAGTTCATCAGCAGCCCATTTGAACCTTGGCACAGATTTGAACTTTTCATTGACATTGAATTTTGTTACATCTACCAGAAACGTAATGGACACCCTCACTCGCATTTGAAGAATCGGGTTGCCCCTTTGAGCACAGAGCGACATGCAGAGCAGAGCTCTGTGCTGCGCCTCTCTTACACTTGCAGACACGCACACTCTCTCCACGCCCGGCTCTGCGGGCCCGAGCCGCAGCCGAGAGGACAGTGACCCACAGAGGTCTCAGCGCGCCCGAGACGCTCCAGCTGCAGACACTCACAGCCTCCTTCGCCAGGCAACGGCTCTACACAAAGGGTGGCGGGAGCATGGAACAAACGACCCAGCCACGTTGTTGAAGCGATGCTCGGATCAATTAACTACTTAATTACCGGAGGGGTCAGACCCCCCCTTCTCGTGTGACCCCCTGTCTTCCCACTCCTTACTCCTGCCCTAACTGCGCCACGCCCGGAGGGGGGTCGAGGTGCCGGGCAGTGGCGTGCTTGCTCACCTTGCAGCCCTCGCAGGCGCTGACCCCATAGTGATACCCCGAAGACTTGTCCTGGCACACGAAGCAGGGCTTGTAAACACGGGGCGGAGGGGGCGGCGAGGGGGGGCTTGGCACGATCTCCTCCGAGCTGGTGCTCTGGGTCTCTATTGCTGCGGGAGACAGAGAGAGAGAGAAGGGGGAGACGGTCAGAATGCGGGTTCATCACCAGAACAGTCACAAAGACACGAGCAAGCCCACCAGGACCTTAATGACCACGCTCGTCCGGGACCCCCTGACATCCTGAGGAGAGGAAGAGCAAAATGATGGCTCAACAAGAACCACACACAACACATTCTTCACGCAGGTCCCCAGCTCCTGTGGAATAAAATGCAGAAATAAAACGTTCCGGCTGATCTCTTCTCTTTTAGGAACGCCGAAGGAAACCAGAGGTGAATTGTTCCTTGGCACTCGTGCGCGCAAGGGAGACTCCTGATGCAGTGGAAAACCGAAACATGCTACATGACTGTCACACAAGCCAACGCAAAACAGAGAAGGAGCAACAAGACCTCGTCAAGACCTCGTAGGAAAGCAGAGAGGAGCAGCGGTCAGGGTTCTGGACTCGAAACGGAGGGCAATTAACCCAACTGCTCCAGGAACATACCCAGCTGTACAAGTGAGTGCAAACGCCGGTCACTGGATAAAAGCATCAGCCAAACACATCCTCCCATTTTCGAACCGATTTATCCAATACAGGGTTGCGGGGGGAGCTGGAGGCTAAAGCAGGAAACACCCTGGCCGAGATGTTGGTCCATCACAGGGCAGATGAGACACACACACCAGGGCCAATTTTACCAGAAGCCAGTTAACCTACCAGTATGCCTTTGGACTGTTGGGAGGAAACCCACATGAACACAGGGAGAACTCCACGCTGATAGCACCCCAGGAATGGAACCCACAGCCTCTGCCCAGTGGGGCAGCAATGCTAGCCACTGCAGCCACTGCATTTCTAATCAATTAGCAAGACACTAAACGAGCTGTTAAAGAACCCGGGAGGGGGGGGTAGGAACATGCTTACAATAGACAGAAAAACTACATTACAAATGAAGACACCTGTGTTCAGACTAATCCGGCAGCTGACTACTCAACTACTGAACCCTTCTGCACCCACAGCAGCAGCAGTGCTTGTGCCATAATCCCCACAGGAGGGACTAAGTCACCTGCACGTAAAAAACATCTAAAGAATTGCAGCATGTCTGCAAGAAGCCTGACTAGCACAACAGCACTAAACCACTCCCATTCCAACGCGACCAGAACCACGAGGCACAGGTCTCCCCGCGGAGCGCTCTGGTCTTCCGGCTTAGCAAAACGGGCAGCTAGATCAGAAAGGGATCGCGTGTGCACGTCTTCAATTTTCTCCTCCGCCATTCCACAGGTGAGAGCTCCCGGCTGCTCTCCGGCAGTCAAGAGGGTACGACACAAACCTGCCGTTTAAACATTCCAGGGCCTGGGAAGACCTCAACAGGCCAGGGGTGCAGGGAGGACCAAGATCTCCATGCAGAAAAGCTCAGGAAATAGAAGGCAGATGCTGGTCTGAGCCCTACAAAAAAACAGTATAGTGCCTTACATCATGCAGCACACTAGAATACCACTAACCTCTTCCAAATAAAAGCACTGATCTCCAAAAGCATTCCCTTTTCCTCTGTCTATAAGAGCAGATCTGTGGGAAACAGCCAGAACTGCAGCTTTGTGACACACAAAGCACAAAACCCAGCCAGCCTCCCTTTATCCTCCGATAGGCCTCCCTTTACCACCAGCACAGGAACCTCTTATTTGGCAGACACCTCCGTCAGAAGAAACACTGGAAAGTTTTTATGAAGATAATAATAGCTTAAATGTACAGGGCGCTTTTTCTTCCCAGAGCTTTACACAGAAAGGGACCCACGCAACAATGCTGTGTATTGTAAATAGGAGGGAAAACAATTATCCACCAGCCTGTAGACTCTGATGTCTGCCAGGGTGCTGTAGTAATGACAGTGATTCCTGTGTGGATGTGCCAACATGGATTCCCCCTCATCGTGCTTTCAAGGCTGGCTCCCACTGCTCCTCCTCAACCTCAGCCCTGAGGAAGGCCCTAATGAGGAAGCAACATCTGAAACCAATTCTGCTGCAGTGCTTCAGTACAACCAGCCTGCTGCTCATGGAACTGTCCTTCTGGACAGTCTGCAGTGCAGGTGCCTGTTCCAGTTTCCCATCCCGTCGGCGGTACAGAGCTCCTGCCACAAACTGGAGTCCCAGGTCCAGTGTCCACATGCTGCTGGTCCCCGCTGGCCGGCTCGTAAGCAAGCCTGTGCCCCCAGCATCAGCACGGTCTTTGAGTGGAACGACGTTCCTTTACTTCAGAAACAATCCAAGAGAAATTTTCCCCGGGCTGCTGCCATTCCTCCACCAGGCTGTCTCACCTCCTGCCTCTATCTGCAATCGTAAATCATAAGAAACGCATTCTCACACGGCCTTCATGTGACTGAGCCTGTGGGTTAAGTGCCAGATCACACAGCGGCACAGCCTGTGAACTCTCTGTGCTGCAGCTCTTGCGTGCCAGGGTGTGAGAAAGAGCCGAGTCCGAGACGCACTCACTCGGCCTGTGAAATCAGCTCCTCCTGTGAACTACCAACGAGCAGGGGAATCTGACTCTCTGTGGGGCCTAAGGACTCAGGGGCTCGAGCTCCTGGTAGCACCTGTCTTCGGGGCACCCCTGCAGAACAGGGTCGCCCTCCTGCGCCACCGCTTGGCTCACCACAAGCACCCATCACAGCGCCGCCGCCCGCCGCGCACGGGTGTGGCAGAGACTGATGGAAAGAAACCGCACAGCCCGGCTCCAAAGTCCCCCTGCCGAAGGTGCGAACTCTGTAGCGGAGCACGGGGGATTCACTCGATCTGGACAAACCCGGCATGGATCATCATGCCGATCAGCAAGGGGGCACTTGGCAGCGGAGAGGTACTTAAAAATGAGAAAACTGACGTCAGACCTAAGCAAACCGGACAATCAAACTCCTTACTCCAATCATGAGCTCAATTCAGGCAGATGACTAATGAGAATCAGTAGATCCTGTACCCCTGAGGGACTGAAGATGCCTGTTCCTGCATGCTTTCCATGGCTCTTAGGGTTGTCGTGGGTCAGTGGGTTAACCCTGCTGGTATCGGGCGCGTTCTCTGTCAGCCACTGGTCCTGCAGGGTTGCTCGAGATAGCTGCTTTCCCAGCACGCGATCTCGAGAGCCCTGCACAGGCCTGCCGGGAGCAGATCTGAGCTCCTGGACAGGAGCGGGCCAGGCTGCCGCGCTGAGGAGGAGGAGGAGGCCTTATCGGGGCAGAGAGAGAGGGAGATCAGGGACAGGGGGCGCAGGCCGGAGTGGGTGAGTCGACGCCCTGCCTGCCCGAGACGGGGGGGGGGTGTTTTCGCGACCCTCAGAGCTGCGATTGTGTGTGGCTGACGGCGCGGAGCTGCCCGGAGGCCCAGACAGCACTCGTGTGTAAATAACCGAGCTATATTTAACACTGGGCTCCGGAGTTCACAGGGCCTGCTGTACAGCTGGCAACAGACTCCACGTGACAGCAGAGACATCAGCTCACAGGGAGAGAGAGAGACGCACACAGCGCGAACGCCGATTCAGGCACAGGAAAACACAAACAGGCAAACAAGCCGCACGCAACAGGAGGCCCACTCACACAGCGACAGACTCCATATACATGTGCAACCTGGAGCAAGCCAATCCCAATCCTTAATGCCAACACTCTTAGTATAGTATAAAATAAATCAAGATAAATAAATCAGTTCTCTTCCCCATAGCAAAGCCTGCAGACTGAACATATTACAGTACAGGACACTGGACTGGTAATTTAGGGCCCATTAGATCACCTCCCTTCCTATTATACTGTGATTCTCAAAGCTGGGAACATTTTCCAGGCAGATGAGTCAACATGGAGCTGAGACTTTTAGCATTTTTTTAACATCAGTTCTTCAAGGTACAATTGCTTATTGTCTGAGCTGCTATATATACACACACGGCTGGTGTTTTTTTTTCCAACTGCACCGTATGAAGAACGACGACATTTTAATGTCTCTTGGCAAGCCAACAACTGCAGGATTCCTTCACATGATTGAAAAAAGGCATGGCTGGGCCTGCCACTGTCCCAGCACCCTGCGCAGAGGAGCGGGACAGGAGTCGATCCAGACCCACGGTCCCAGCGCTGCACCACAGCCACCGAAGAGCTGAACCACACAGCCACCGCGGTCCACAGTGGTGGAGAGGCAGGCGGGGAACCCCCACCCTCCTGGGCTATTCTGATCCAGCCAATATACCAGTGCAGGAGGAGAAAAAACGCAGCGGAACAGTACGAAGTTGATATGCATTTCGAAGCACAGGAGCACAGCTCTTCTGGAATCGGAGACAGTCCCTGTGAGAACTGCCCATCAAGAGCCACTGCTGGTCTGGGTAGGCAGCAGGAGAGGAAGCATCACTCAGACCTGCGAGCTACACAGTCACTCCAGGCAAGAGGGGAGAGACTGCAGGTCCAGGGACAGCCCCTCTGATTGAGAGTGTCCCAGTGTTGCGCAGTGTTTGAGAGTGACTGTGTGTGTGTTGCTCTTTCGAGACACAGACGGGGGGGAGTACGCTTGTAGGTGGCACGCAGGCAAAGATCACAGGTCTCAATCATGTTCCCCCAAGTGGTACGCATCTACCACCTGCCACCAGGGCGGCGCCACAGGGGACACCACCTTGCAAAGGAACGGGTGGCCCTCCCGTTAATTCGTCTCTACCCCCGCCACTGAACTCGGGGGGGCCCCCAAAGCTGCTTCCCAGTACCCTGCCCGGACCCCCGTCACTTCACACTGCCTTTCCTTTGCTCTCCTCCTGGGAAGCACAGGCAGCCTCCCAAGGGAGAAAGCACTGTGCTCTGGCGCTTGTGGCTCTGGGGCAGACTTTGCTCCATGTTTTCTGAAAGGAATTCTTCACAGGCAGGCGGAAGAGGATAAAAAGATGATCACTGCTCGTCGAGATCAGGGGAGTGGAGCGACTGCTGCCACTAAACTAGAAACAACTTAACATCGCTGCTTTTTCCTTTTGATCTGAACTGGGAGCAAAGATGAAAACGACACTGAGAAGCATTAAAAACACAACGCACATTATTGGTTCCAAAACCTTTGTTGCGTTTTTAATGCCGTTCAGTAAATAAAGTAGCGATAACACCCCAAAAAATCACCAGTAGCTAAGGCTTTGCGTTTGTACCAACTGATACAATAAGGAATTTTAAAGAAAGGTGACTCCAGACACTAGGAAACACTTATAAAAGGCACGTGTCCATGCAGTCCATTCTGAGCGCTCTGCTGCTCATCTCAAGAACCTTGATCTTCACACGGTCATTATGAGTCTGGGGGCTGAACTTTGACGATGTAATTGGGCAGCACTTGCTGCTAATCTCTGACCACCTGCCTTGGACTCAAGGACAAAATGACTTGGGGCTGCTGTTGTCAATGAGCACAGTAACACTGACACAGCAGGACTGATAGGGAGAGATAAGACATTACTCCCCCACCCAGGCCTCAGACTGCCTGCTGCAACAAGCATCCCTGATATGCCCTCATACAGAGAATGAAGGCTGGTTTTGTTGGATAACTTCTAGTTTTTGTATAGTGGGCTCTGTTTCTTCCAAACGAAATGATGAAATCATTTCACACACGGAAACAAAAATGCTGAAGGCAGCAGCATTTGAAAGGAAGACGATTTGAGTTTAAATATAGTACTTTTCACCCCCGAGGATCCCCGAGTGCTGCACATACAGGAAGGTGGGGTGCAGCGCCCATCTGGAAGACGAGCACCCAGCAGCCCACTACACAGCAGATCAGGATACGAGTTTGCTGCGCTGTCAGGCTCCGGTCTGTGATCTGGTCACCTGTGCCACTAGTGGACTCTACAGTAAAACCAGCCTCTGGACACATGAGCCAGAGGGCAAGCAGAAAGACCGTTTTAAACTGAACACGGGAAGGGGCTGAAGCTCCAGCAGTAAGGGCGCTCGCTGGGTTCGAGCCTGGGTCAGGACACTGGCTGACCTCCTCCCCCCCCGTGTGCGGCTGTGGGTTTCAGGGCCGCGAGCTGAGACACAGGGAGCTCAACGCTGCCCATTCCAGATCTGGTGGGAGTAACAAAAAGTATTGTTCTATATTTAGAGAAAAAGAACTTGACACGGGACATGCTTTTTCACACGGGGGGTCTTAGAACCCTGGCTTCTTTCAGGAAACAGCTGGATAAGATCTTGGATCTCTTCCTTGGCTCCTCCCAACGCAACGGACTAGCTGGGCTGCTGTCCTCTCATGTAACGGCCCCTTTGGTTCCATCCTGCACTTGTGCAACTGGCTCATCCTTGCAGTAGATCAAGTACAGACTGGGGGGACTGGTTTTCTCTGAACATGGTAGCCAGGGGGAAAACATAAGGAGAAGAAAAAGACTCCCCCCATCCCCTTGCGCAGAACCCTCTCTTTTTTTGTTTTTATGGTTGTTGCTGCGACTGCTCAATAGCCGAGATTCCATTGTGCTGTCAGTCATTATACTCACGTCAAACAAATTAAACGTAAATAGAAGCGGCTTATATAACAAAATCAGATTCACTCTCATTAGGAAACCCATGCGCCTCTTTTTTTTTTTTTAAAGGGCCGTGCTGCGGTGCCCGATCCAGTGTCATTACGGCAAGATTAAAACACGGCTCAGAGATCCATTCGTCTGCATCAAAACCACTTTCGTTAAAAACACGCACGCACAAGCAGGCAGCCAACGCAGTACATACACGCTCGCTGCCCCCAACAATCCCCCCCAAGGCCCTGACAAGAGCACACTTAAAAACTGGGGCGCTGGGACACATCCAGCATGAGGGCTGGCCCTGTAATTAAACACAGTTGCTCTGGTATGGGGGCAGAGGCATTCAGGGGAACAATGCCTGGCTTGTACAGTCTGAAGTTACCCGCTCAGATGATAAGGACGGATGAAAGCAGCTTTTAGAGCACAAAACACTAAGCAGTGGACCCCCGTGCCCCCCTCTCCGAAAGAAGTGGGCCGCCCTGCTCTTGCTGGGCCTGTCTGCCGTGTGACGAGGAGGTCAGAGATCCACGGTCAAAATGGGCATCTTCCCTGGAAAATTCCCCAATTGGTCCCTCCCGTCTGCCGGCGCTTATCCCTCTGAAATCACCTGCTTCACACAAAATGTGCACCTCTGTACCACACATCTGTACCAACAACCCCCACCTCCCCTCCCCTCCTCCCTGCTCATCTCAGGGGTTCAGGTCTGGGTTAGCTGGCCAAGATTACATGAAACCTCATTCACTTCAATTATTCAGCACAGCTGTGAAGCATATTAATGAGATTCCGCTGTCATTAAGAGGATGTTAAATACATTATCAGCCAGCGAGCAGCAGTCAGGGAGTTCAGGGGCCAGAAGAACTTGCGCTTCTCCTCAGAGCATCAGGAGCCCGAGCGCTCTTCAGTCTGGAGATTCAATTAGTCTGCAGCTACACATCCAGACATGTCCTCAAAAACGCTTTCCCCCCTGTTCCTGCCTAGAATTCCCTCCCTCTCTCGGTTTTTACCAAGTCTGACTGAACATCTGCCATCTATGATCCAATTTCTGCAGCCCCCTCTCCACCTGGGCCACAGGAAGTCCAAGATATTAAGGTCACAGATTCTCTAGTTTCTGGAAAATTGGAGCACCGAGAAATATTTCCAAAAGAAGATGAGATCTCCTTTGCTTGCTAAAGAGGGAATGTCCCCTTGTGTTCTGTCATCTTCCCGTTGCCCTCTTGGCAAATTTTAAATATGCCCTCTTCTACAGCCCAGCGCTCTCTGCCATCGCTTAAAGACAGGCTCTTACAAAAGGTCAAGTGAAATTACTGGCAGAAACATGTGCATAATGAGAAGTGCGTGTGAGAGACGCTTTGAAGAAGTGCTCTCGTTTCTGTTCTGGCTGGAGGTCCCCAGGTGGCAGAGGCAAGAACTCTCACGCCACACTGAGAGGAAACTGTGGTCAAACCCTCAGAGCCGGCTGACACTCGGGCTTCGGCTTGGCTGAGTCTTGTGCTTCCAGGCCCGTCTGTGAACCACAGAAAATACAGCTTTCCTCCTTTTCAGACGTCGCTTCTGTTAAACTGCAGTGCAGAGGTGACCGCGTCGTGTTTCTTTAGGTCAGCTGTTCGCTGGGGCCTGCAGGAGTCTGCGTGCTGGAGCCCAGGGGGGGGCTGAGCTCTTGAGTCTGACAGTTTCAGAACCCAAGCAACTTGAAAAGAAAACACTTGACTGTTCCTTAGTGTTGTCTTTGAGAAGAACACATAAAAAGGTG